CCAGGTGTTTTGTAATGAAAAGATGCTGATTATTCTCCCACAATGTGCTACCCCTGACTTGGATTTTCAACTTATGGATTGTTTTCATTCATTTGGAGTTTCTCATTATAAACAAAACACCCCAGCTGTTATCTCCAGTCTGTTGTGGGAGGTATGGGTGATGGCAGGAAGCCTTCAAGATAATGACTGCTGATTGCCACATTGTCTTAAGAAAACAAAACGCTTGTTTAACTATTCTCCAATTTGTTTTTGTAAATGAATCAATATGAAACCTGGGAAATAGAAATGGATGAGTTTACTAGTCTATCTGGATCATTGTGAATCAAAAGCTGAAAGTGGCCTTTTATATTATAGATTGATCAGGATGTGAAAACAACTTGCATTGGAAATTAAACTGCCTGCTTTATGTTCATGACCTTTAACACAATCGTACACTTTACGAAACCTGATAAAGTGATTGTATTTCAGTTCTGTGTATGAGGAAATAGCAACATTATATTTCACCGAAACAAGGAAGATGAACATTTTTTAATATCAGGATGTGAATTAATTCAATACCAGCTGATTTTCAAGATTATGTGTTGTTGGTCCAATATCATGGCAATTCAGTGATGCTTCTCTCACATCACCATGGCAAACTGTTGTCCGGAGTGTGGACTTCCTGTGCCTATTTTTAAGGTTGGTTTTGTGACATCCCAAAGGAAGCTTGAATTGGTCTTGTACTTTGAGAGCCTATCTATTTTCATATTTTATGTAAAAATATGAATTTGTACCCTGTTGAATTTCCTGTTTTGAAATTATAGTTTTGTTTTGTTTTACTCGGCTAGGAATGTTTGCTTTCCTGTTGAATTCATTGGTTCATCTTAATAACACATTTATCAAGAAAATAGCACTGCCCCAAGTTAACACTGTGTACTGTGTTACCACTTTACCAGTAAGTCTGTAACCTATTTAAGTCATTACCAACATCTTGTATTATAATTAGTACGTACATAAGTCTGTTCTTCAGTTCCTAGAAAGTTTAGGACTGTCAACTTCTAAATGTTAATTCATCTTTAATAGACAAACCGTCTCATTAGTCATATTGGTTCTCTTAATTACTCATACCTGCACAATTGTCGAAAGGTTAGTTGCAGAAATTGTTCCATATCTAACACTTTCTTTTAATTTCGAAACATATTTTATTCAAAATATCTCTACTTATTACCAACACCCTAATTTGGTTATATGTCATGTGTCCTAATAATCACCCGAAGAACAGAAGAGCTAATATAGTAACACTGTATTGATTGGCATGGCACCTCAATTTAATCAAGCTGTAAATCTCAAGTAAGGTTGAGGAAGGTATTCCACACAATGCAAAACTTCAAGTTTACACAAACATGAACAACACCTTTACATTTTCAATATCAGATTCATTAGATACATATTCCCATGGAAAAATCTATTTCAGTGATGAGCTCTTATGAAAGTTATTGAAGAAACCTATACTGTGTTTCTTGGCGCCAATTTTTAGGAACACTAGAACAGAAGTTTCCAAAATATTTGTTTATAATCTTGATTTATTACGGGTAAATCATGAATTAATTTCTTCACAAAGTAAAAATAATTGTGAAATAAGAAGTCGATAACTTGTAAATTGTTAATAATAATTAAATATCTAAAATATACAAGGATTTCCGTCACCAGGATGTTATGTTTGCGTGACATGAGGTAATGTACACTTCGTGAATAGTTAACACCTGTGTGCTGCAGGCTGATATACAATACAACCATAGGAAGGAGATTTAGAGTATACCGTATCATTATGAATCCTAAGGAAGCCTGTGTAACTGTCTATATATAGGGATTGCACCGTTTTATGGCATCCTTGCGTGCAAGTTACGACTGACGCTGTTTTATGTCGATGCTTTCTTATTGATTTTCAAGATTTAAGTTCTCAACCAAAATAGAGACACTTTCTCACAGTTGGTTTAGAATTGTAAGACGATAGATCAAGTAAATAAATCTATTTTTGGTATGTTTTGTTACCCATGTTAATACATTCATTATTTCTATGCAGTAAAATATGTCATTAAAACAAATTTGCTACTTCTAATGATGGAAGTATAAAGAATCAATTTTATCTTTCGAAATAATCAATGTCAGTATTGTTATAGGCTCAATTTTGGAAACCTGTCAGAAACTGAACTATTTTCTTTGTTAGACTTATTCCTGTATGCATAACAACGGTATTTCTAAATTATTAAAGTAAATTGACATGCTTAGCTAGAGCGAAACTCATTGAAAGTTTCTAATGGGATTTCCTTAGTGCAGCTGATGCCAATTAACAACAGAATCCATTATTTATGTGACGTCGTTATCATCTTGGTGGCATAAGGGGAGACAACTCATTACATTCAACTTAAAAAATATATATATGTATTGTTGTTGTTGTTGCTGCATGAAAGTTTCACTTAGACTTATACTTTAAACGAACAAAGGCAATGTCTGTTTTGGCTGTTCAACATATAATCAGAAACGGTTTTATAAGCCAGCAAGCCTAATATATTCCTTTGGTAGCAGTGCAATTATTTGTTAGCTAAATATGCAACTATTAAAATGAGAATTTAATGCTTTCAATATCACATAATTAATTTTCTTTTTAATTTATTATAACAAAATCCCCAATAGTTTGTATAGTCAGTTATGATTTTTAAATTGAATACAGGATATGGTGAATTTTGCTTTATACTTAATAACTCTTTGGCTGTTACTAAGATGACCAGACTTTGGATGTCTGTTTCGTGGTGAATTTACAGGAATAACATTGTGGAGTGTCTGCTGTGTACTGAATGCTTGATCAATACTCAATTAAACTCCAAATAATAAACTAGGAAAGGGAGAGCAATTTGAGTATATCATGTCATCATAGCAGAAAAACACGAACTTCAAATAATAAAACAATAAGTCAGTTTCACAAAGAATGAGATAAAAGCAGAAAAAAACGATTCTAAATCAAAATGTATTAAATTAGGAATTAAAAAAAGAAATGATTTGTTATCGCAAGCTTGGAGTTTTTGTTTCTTAATTTACTTCTGCCATCTCATCCATAGTTTAGTTCATATTTTTTATTCAACTTGTTGACTCATATTTTGTTGATTTCCCAATAAATATTGCACATAGTTTCACAATTAGTAAATCATGTCAGAATTTCTTTTTAAATCATCATCCTTAAGTATTATTTCCTCTAAAAATATATTTATTGTCATTCCTGTGTGTCATAGATCATCGCTGCAGATGGAATTATCAAGTTGTTCATTCTGTAACATGGTTTAGATTGGTACACAACACTTATGCAACAACAAAATGGAATTTTGCAATTTCCTTTTCATGTCCAGTCCCTATCTACAAGTGTATGATCAATCAGTACAGTGTATATACATGTATGGTGTATTACAGATATTGGAAAATAAATATAGTTCCATAGTGAAGATGTTAATATCATCTCAAATGAAGAGAACCTGTATAATGTGACACCCTTTACATTGAGATTGGACCATTATATGTTGAGTTATACAAGGTTCAGATTAGACAGGTTTCAGTGTATATAATGCTGAATTTCTGTGGTCCTATTCTCCATTATAAATTGGTACTTTATTATCTTTGTGGGGCTTAGCTTTTCAATTTTGTGAAAGGTTAATGTTCTAATACAACGATTAATTATGTTATTTTTGGGGAATGTTTTGTTTAAAGATACCTTGAGACCTTATACAATAGCTAATAACAGGATACTAATTAAAAACATAAAATAAATACAGACCATGCATTATCTGGTACAGAACTAAATATGTATAAAGAACAGATGTGCTTAATAAGGTAATTACTGCAGTGTTTACAGAGACACTAGTTGATATAAAGACAATATAGTAACTTGTAAAGAAGCTGAGTTAAAGCACACAGGAGACTACAGTAGGTGTAGGGAGGTACATGGGCTGACATTGTAGTAACTTGTAAAGAAGCTGAGTTAAAGCACAAAGGAGACTACAGTAGGTGTAGGGGGGTACATGGGCTGACATTGTAGTAACTTGTAAAGAAGCTGAGTTAAAGCACACAGGAGACTACAGTAGGTGTAGGGGGGTACATGGGCTGACATTGTAGTAACTTGTAAAGAAGCTGAGTTAAAGCACACATGAGACTACAGTAGGTGTAGGGAGGTACATGGGCTGACATTGTAGTAACTTGTAAAGAAGCTGAGTTAAAGAGCACATCAGACTACAGTAGGTGTAGGGAGGTACATGGGCTGACATTGTAGTAACTTGTAAAGAAGCTGAGTTAAAGCACACAGGAGACTACAGTAGGTGTAGGGAGGTACATGGGCTGACATTGTAGTGTTGTCAAGAGGGGAATTCCTGTACAGTACATCTAACCTTCAAGTATAACATGTACAGACATATTACACTAGAATCAGAGTGTTAATATATTAATGACTATTTACACATTGAAGCAACCAACATGTTGTTTGTAACATTATAAGTGCCACATTTTACGCAGAAATATAAGATGTTACTGATAGTTAAGCCCCACTGCACAAGCCACTTAACATCCATAAAGACATGCCTGTGTGTCAGTGATATATTTCAGGAAAACATTTTTGTGTCTACACATTTTGCGGTTAAGATGGTTAAGATAGATGGGCTGTTCATGATTAAATGTTTGATGTGGTCTGACAGCCACGTGTGCCTTGGTCATGCATGACTAAAGTACAAATAAGTCACAATGTCTGTGGTCACTCAAAGCTTGACCTCTGTGCGGACTTCAACCTATGGGATGGACTTTGTTGATATGTGTTAATTTGATTGGTTAAGTGTATATCTATGGGAGGAAACTCTGTTTAATAAATTGGGAGAAATTAATATACCATGATAATTAACATATATATAGTCAAAGGTTTTGTGTAAAGCTCATAAATAACGAAGGTAATTGTAATAAGAATATAAAGTTTACATTTCTGCCAACAGATGCCTGAGGGTGAGAGTTTAACTTGTGCTGAGGCATTATGGGACCATATCACTATGGATCCCGAGGAACTTGGTTTCCATGCCGGCGATGTCATCGAGGTGATGGACATGGGTGACAAGGACTGGTGGTGGGGTGCAATCGATGAGCGAGAGGGCTGGTTCCCTGCAACGTTTGTCAGAGTAAGTTTCCTCAGCTATCGCTAGGAGGATAAGAGTCATTAATTTTATGATATTTTTGCCTTCAAATTCTTACAAATGCAGTTAACTGTTTTACCCCTGCCCTAATATCTTTGATAATGATACAACAGAAAATAATTTTGAAAAAAACCCCAAATGAATAGTTTTGTTTTGACATTGAAACTGTTTTCTGTTATAGTTACGAGTAAACCAGGAACCGTATGAAGAAGATCTAGTTTCACAGTCCTCCGAGGTGACACAGTTATCACCAAAGTTACGACGGGTTAGCGTCATCAACAAGGAACAGGCTCGGGAAAATGTCGTCAACGAAATCATAAGTGCTGAGCGGGAGTACGTGAAACATCTTAAAGATGTTGTTGAGGTAAAAATTATGGACTAATTCAAAATTTAGCAAATGTTTGTTCTCACACAATAGTTATTGCTAACTTGTTCAAAATTTAAAGGTAAATAACTCTGACACAACACAAATGAATAGCAACTAAAATATGTAAAGTATTGTACACATTTATTAAAGTTATTTACGGCTGTGAAATTGGTGAAAATTTAATATAAACTTTATTTCATTCCAAATTAAGTTGCATTACATCACATAACATACAAAGTACAGAGGAATGGGATCCGGAAACAAGTTGAAATAACTTATATAAATCCGTTTCCCCATTTGGACTCTAATTTTATCAATGTGCCTCAAATGTGCCCCATTTGGACTTTGATTTTTTTAATGTTCTCCATTAGGACTTATAGATTTCTTCCACATGCTTTAAATGTGCCCCATTTGAACTCTATTTTTATCAATGTGCCTCAAATGTGCCCCATTTGGACTCTGATTTTTCATATGTGCCACTTTTAGACTTTGATTATTTGACTAAGTGCAGGGTTTAAGAATATATACTTTAATCTATCTAGGCCTAATGACTTTTTGAAGTTCCTGCTGTATATTTTAAAACTTCATCTGCTGTGTAATGTTTTGTTGATAGATATCTGTATAAATCTTCAATAAAGAATGCAGTAGAATTGTTGAATTTCACAATGTCATGAAAATCACTGTTTATACATGAAAATAATGTGAGTAAAATTATTTCTGATTTATTTGACAGGGATACATCAAGCATGCACGGAAGAGGGCAGACATGTTTTCAGAAGACAGGATAAGTGTGATATTTGGAAATATAGAGGACATTTATAATTTTTCCAATCGATTCCTGGAGTCGCTAGACTGTGCGTTTACAGCTGACAGCCCGCACTTGAGTGAATTAGGACACTGTTTTCTCACCCAGGTCAGTTTTGTTAATACAATGTTTATATTTCTCTGTAAGATTTGAAATTAGTAGTTTATGAAGTCTGACAATGCAAAACTATAAAAGAGTTCATGTAAGAGAAGATAATTTATGTTAGACTACAAGATAGACTTTAGGGAAGCTACAATCACATCCTACAGACCTTCAGGATGTCATTTTGTCAAAGACATAATATTCACTTCCTTCAAAAGTCTTTATACTGGACTGTCGGAGTAGATTGTTAGAAACCTGTCAAGCAAAACAGTCAGGGTGAAAGCTTAAGACAGAGTGGAATTTGTAGAAATATTCGGATCACATTTAAAAGAATCCTTCCCATGATGGAAATTTTCAGAGATATTTTGAACATGTCCTCCTTACTGATAGGGATTTATGGGCTTGTTATATGTTATATCCTGGCCAATTCTCAGATGCAACTCAAAGGATCAAACAGGCACATCATTTAAAAGACTTACTTCAGAGGTTACTTGAAAGGATCTGCAAATAAGCTGGAAAATGAATCATAGTAAAGTGCCTATCTGTCTTTAATCGAAGTAGTATATTGCTGTAGAAATTAAACCTGAGAAAATTTAATCTGGACTGTTTGATTTGTTACAGAGTAAAGAATTTGAGATTTATTCCGACTACTGCAATAACCACCCATCAGCCTCAGAGGAGTTGAAAGATCTGTACCGAAAACAGAAATACAGACATTTCTTTGAGGTAAGAACAATCACACAACCAATTCAGGTCAGCATTAGAAGGCATTGGGAAATTTGTTGAGTAAAATTTGTATACCCTTTATAACATTTCACTTAATTCTTGACCTTGCTCATTGTGACCTTCATGGTCTGTTGATATTGTGCTTTTTTCAACATAGACCATTGAAACTTTGCTTATTGTAATATTTACTGTTGGAATTTGCACAATGTGATTTTTATATCTTGATCTCTCTAAATGTAGTTGTTTACCTTGGTGGATATTTCAACTTGCATTAATGACTGTTACTCTTTGAAATTGCACTGAGTGACTTTTAGAATTTTCCTCTCAATTTGCAAGTTTTACCATTGACCTCACTCTTTGTTGCCTTAACCTATGACCTCACTCCTTTTCAGCCTTATGTGTCACCCTAACCGTTACAACGTTTGCCTTTGACATACAATTACTTTTACTATTTTCACTCATTTTCACCTTTACCTTTATCCAGGCGTGTCGACTACTCCAGGAGATGATAGAGATCCCTCTAGAGGGGTTCCTATTGACCCCTGTCCAGAAGATATGTAAGTACCCGCTCCAACTGGCTGAACTTCTTAAGTACACACCTCCCAGTCACCCAGACTATCGCAATGTAGAGGGTGCTCTGGAGGCCATGAAGAAAATCGCAGCACTCATCAACGAACGAAAACGCAAGATGGAAAGCATTGAGAAACTGGCACGGTGGCAACAGACGGTCGAGGACTGGCAGGTGGGTTGCGAAGCATAACAATATTTGTGTAATCTAATAATTGTGTAATTTTGTGTAATTCAAAATAAAGATGTTTTATGATTCAGCGTCCTATAAAAAAAGAAGACTTTCAACTTTTGTAGGAAAAACAAAATTTGTAAAAACATAAAGCAAAAATATTCCCACAAAGCATTACCAAGTAACAGTATATTAACGTTACACTATGATGACATTTGACTTTTGATGACTGTACTTAACACAGACTTAATATGTTTGTTTCGCTTTTTCGTAGGGGCCTGATCTACTTGAGAAGAGCTCTGAGCTGATCACATCAGGAGAGTTTAACAAAGTTAACTCTGGAGGCTGGTCCCAGGAACGCTATTTCTTCTTGTTTGATCGTCAACTCATTTACTGTAAAAAAGTAAGTTTACAAAGGTAGACCAGATATGTGGTGTAGGTCTAGCACTTATCAATCGGTTGTCCTTAATTGTTAGAGTGGAAAGTGCTGATAAATATTTCAGAGAAATATCATAAATAGACTGAAGCTTGGATTTGACAATATTGAATATTTCCTGTGAAATATGAAGGTTGATGTAATTTTGAATAACGGCTCCTCAATCTTTCGATTGTAATTCAACTTAAAATATTTCAAACTCATAGTTATTCCTTGGTGTGATGAAAATTGCATTGGATATACAAGAAATATTGAACATGATTTATTGATTATATAAAAAAAAAATGCACTGTCGGTTTAACTATCACCTTTTTTCGCCGTCCATGATAAAGGCAAATTTATCACAATAGTGAAATAAGTACACAACATTCTATACGTAGGTAAAACATGAGCACTATAAAATGATACTAAAAAACACATTTGTCTTTTGTATTGCAGGACCTTTTGAAAAAGAATGGTTTCAGTTATAAAGGCCGAGTGGATTTGGATGAATGCGAGTTGATCGTATTGGAGGATGGGAAAGGTAAACAATCAACCCCCTAATTTTATACAGGCTTAATTGTTTGTTGCAGTGCAAATTGTTTGAAATGTGTTGTAATACCAATACAGATTTGAATTATGTGCACAATTGCTTTTTGCTTGACAACTCATTGAAAGAAGTTTTTTCTTATTTTTTAAATCAATATAAATGTAACATTACTCTAATAAATATATACACTTACCTGTTCTGACCTCAGTTCCGGGAACATTCTGAACTCAATTAGGTTCTCAATTCTCAGATTTGTGTTTTAATTAACAGCTGAACATTAAAACTGCAATAAAAAAAAAAGAATATCTATGTGTGATCTTCAGAATTTAAGATTTAGGACTTAAATGTTTAAAATGTTCTCAGTGTAAAGAACATTTGTAAAACAGGTGACTCTAAGGAAAATGAGATGTTACAAAGTCACCACATTTATGTTTCAGATATACAGTATAATGTGACTGTGAAGAATGCGTGGAAATTGCACGAAACTATTCGGGATAAGTGGTACCTCCTCTACACCAAAACTCAAACAGAGAAACAAAGATGGATGCGGGCTTTCCAGAAGGAGCGACAGAGAGTCAGGGAAGACCAGGAAAACAGTAGGTTACTTATTTCATCTGTTTGATTATTTTTGTTCCTTGATTTTGAGCAAGAGAGTGGATTCAACAAGGATGAAAATGTTAATGTTTTCATATTCAGTTCATAAATATAATCTTAAACGGAACAGCAAATTCAACACTGGTTCGATCTTTTTATTAAGGATGAAAGGGTGAAAATATTACGGAAAAAATCTACTAAGGTAATAGAGTAATGTTTCAAATTCATTTTACCTTTATTTTTTTAAGTTTCTAAAACATTTACCATCAAGAAAAAATGTTCTTGTTCTATAAAATATTAATATTAAAGTAGCAAGTTCACACTTGAGCAAACCTCTAAGTTTTAATGAGATATCCTTGTCCATGCCGTCTTGTTTACATTCATGTTCTATACTACTATTACTAAAAAACAAGAAAGTGATGCATAAGAAAACCTTCATTTTCTTTTTCAGACTTTGTGCCTCTTCATTGGAAGAAGACAGTTTTGAATAAGCTGAGAGCAAGCAAAGGTAATTAAGAACTTTGTGTATTGATCTGTTAAAAGAACACATTTCTATCATCTTGTATAATAATTAAATATGACATAATGACACAGAAGATATATATCTGTTGTTTTGGGTTTAAAATAATCTTGACTTCAGCAATTCAAACAACTCTCACTGTACCTCTTAATCTTTGACCCTGACTTCTGATTTTTTTTTTTTTTTTTTTTTATCAACATTGCAAAAATAAATCTATTCGATTCCTGAATAAATCTGGGAGTTTTATTTCATCTCAATCAGAATAATGATGTTCTATAACATCATTGAAAGACTGTTTTTGAAAGTGTTTTTTAAATTTTATTTTGCAGAAAAGATGCAGTCCTCACAGAACACAGTATCTATACACTACCAGAAGGAGTTTCTACGTGGCATTCCATCACATGCCACACTGCCAAGGTCCTACGCAAAGAAACAACGGGACAAGAAGAAGAGCTGGTCTTTATTTGGCAACAAGAAATCATCGAAGTGAGCAAGTAGCTGATTGGTGCAGCACTACGTAATGGATGATCTGATTGGTGCAGCACTACATAATGGATGATCTGATTGGTGCATCAAGGCACCCCTTGTCCTTTGAATGGTTTGTCCAACTCGAAAAATCTCAGGAATGGAATCGTAACTCATACAACGATAGTAGTGACATTAGTCACTGTGGTTAAAATAGCAAATATTTTTGAAAATAACCATTCACATGTTTGAACAGTTTCTTCCTGATTCTTGGATCATTGTTCTCAAAGCAATGAGAGGACAGACATTTTCTTGCTTCATTTCAAACAAACATGACCAATAGAAAATGTACCAGTGCCAAGAGTTGTTGACCTTCTGGTTGTTCATGGATAAACGGTGAGAGTTAAGGGCACAACCTGTCTCTAGATGTTTTACTTATCACCATATACAAATTTAACCTACCGATAATGAACTTGACCATTGACTGGACACGAACCTAGTGCTGATACTGGCCTGCTATGGTTGTTATTGTCCTTGTGTACATATCAGGATGAGTGTTTCAACTCCCTGACATCATAGACCAGTAACTCAGACTATCAGCATACATGGATCCTAAAAAAAAAAAACTGGACTGGATAACAGGAGACTTTCAATCCAGAGGAGATAACCCAGTGTTTCCCGTCATGTTGGCTATCAGTTAATTTCTGATATATGAAAGACTCCCAAGGATCCTTCACAATGTCTGCTGACGGATAGGCTACAATCAAAGGGAGATTACCAGCTGATGTGGACTTGCATGTATTTTTCATAGTGTTAGCTGACAAGAGAGCTACAATCAAAGGGAGATCACCATGTGTCATCGATTGAAAGTCTGCAATCCAAATGCTAAAGAGAACAGTTTCACTTGTCATAATAAAACGTTAACTTATTAACCATTGGTTATTCAATACTATCACAGTGCAGCTTTCTCACAATGAGAATTAGGAGCAAGGTAACAAACACTGTATAAGGACAGACAATTCTCAATGGATGTGTGGACAGATTGATTCTGAAACGATCTAGAGAAGCTAGACTACACTTCCCAAAGTTTATTGACCGTGTATTACCAAAACAGATTGTGGACAGATTATTCACCAGTAATGTATGGACACATTATCTCCTAGCAGGAAATATACTTACCTAATTTCAGGTAATATCGGTCCTTGAAAATGACTTTTCGTTATGGAATGATTAAAGCATTACATTTGCAGGATGATATGGATGCTGTACAATGTATTTGCTGAATTGACAAAAAACCTGGATGACATGTGAAAATATGTTGACAGTTGTCAATAAATGTGTCTGCCATGTTTCTTACATACACAAAGATATGCAGGTCATATCTAATACAACATACAAACATGGAGGCAACCATAATATTTCATTTCGATTTGGACCAATATTTATACATACATGAACAGTCATGGTCATATTTGAATATTCATGTGTTTTCAATTTGAATATTCCTCATATTTATTTTCCAATTCTTGGGTATATATATAGCCAGGTTTATGCATAATTATGTTCATCAAAGTCTTAGCTCCATCTTTACAAGTATTCATATGATTGAATAGATCTGATAGAGATTAACAATCATATTAAGCCTACTAGTGGATGCAATTTCACCAACATAACAGAGTCTGTGATTGGTTAGATGCAACAGAGTCTGTGATTGGTTAGATACAACAGAGTCTGGGATTGGTTAGATTGAGATTGATCTCATTTAGATAATAGTTCATATGACTTCAATGTTATTTAAACAGCAGTATTCAATTATCTATATAATTTAAATCTCTTGTTACAATCTGTGTGTAAGGTTTGTAAAATGTGGAGTTTCATTTATGGTAAAATATTAGACTGATTTTAACTCCTCTTGCAAGGAGGCAATATGAAACTTGAAAATGAACAATTCAAAAAATTACCATAGAGCTTTCTAGATGGACTAGTTGCATGAAACAGTTACTTGTATGTGAAGTTTGAGTCATAGTTGATGTATGTATCTATAAATATGTGGGAGACCATTGAATGGCGTCTTTGTCACTTAACAATGTTTCAATAACAGCTACATGTATATTCATGAAACAAACATGGTTGACATATATATATACAATGTATATACATATAAATATGTTTGAAACAAAATCGTACTGATCAAGCTCATATGTAAATTTGCTGAAATCAGTTTTTTGTTCATAAAAGGAAATGTGAAAAAATGAATTTCATAAAAAATTTAGTATACATTACCTTTGACCCAGAGACCAAATTAATTTCTGATAAGATGAGAGGTCAAACTGGAGTTAATGTTATTATCTCAAGTTGTTCATTCAGATATTGTTACTTGCAGGTAGCTACACCTGTAGGTCGATATTTTTGTTGGTTGTACAAAATATTGTTAAAGATGAATACCCGCTGGTTTCTGTATTTTTATCATCATGTTTTCCATGTCGTAATTTCATTACAAATAACTACATACTAACAAGTATAATACATGGCATTACATCACTGCTATTTGATACCCATCAGAATCGTTCTTGGTGGCTAGTAAGCTTAATGGGGTCGCACTGTTACTTTTGGTTTACATATATACTTTTAAATAAAGGGGTTGTAGGTCTTATCTAAGCTCCAACATGTACAGTCAAAGCAGAAGATATGTACAATAACACAACAATAATGAACTGCTTAAAAACAGATGTTTTTTGACCAAGTGTTAGATTTTAAATGATAAATATCATGAGCCTAGCCTGTCTCCTAGAGGTTTTTTTATTATTATAGCTCTGGGTGTGTTAATGAAAGAAATTTCAGATCTTTTCAAAACTGAAAATAACCTTAATTTTAATATGTAGTTTAAAAAATTGTGAAGTATTGGCAGAAAACAGGCGGAATTGATCTATGAAAATATTAGCTACCTTTGGTGGAATTAATTAGTTTTGAAGTAGATTTTCAAAGAGGTCTATTTGAGATTAGGTAACACATCAGTTTCATATCCTGTGCTATCAAACAAATTACCATACTGAATCAGACAAGATACACATTGGTGCTAGTGTATTAAGGGTTAACTGGTAGAATCAGAGGGAATTCATGTAAAAAACTTGACAAAGTGCTGATTTTAAATATTCATGAATAAATATATTTGTTATTGTATTGTTTTGATATGCATGAATATCTTCTATCCAAGTATTGCTAGATTTGTTTATACATGACATTGCTAAATTATCATAGTACTCCAGCTGTTTATGGTACATTGTATGTGTGTTGTGTTTTAACTATTTACAAGCTTCCAATTGCTGTAATACTTCCCTGTCCACTAATGTAGTACTGTTTACCGTAATGTGTGTATAATTCTATTTCTTTATTCCATTCCATACAAGGTGGGCATATATTTCTTGCACAAATTTCTATGAGCTTGTGAAAGTTTCGCTTTCCTGATCTAAATTAAATACTAATTAGTTCAGATTTGTTCTCAAACCATTACTATTTGATTTCATTTGCTGTCAATGATTTGGTAAAAATCTTTTGTTTCCTTGAAAAAAATAGTTTCTATAAAATGTTCCTCCAGTTTGTAAATTGTATGTTGCAACAATAATTTAGCTTTGTATGTCAAAGTTCAAGAAAAACTGCACGCTTCTCATTTTTCAACATTAATTTCTTAGGATTCACTTCAGAAACATTTTGAGTCGGTAAATGTGCATTGCATCCTTTGTTTCAACTTTCATTTCGCCTTTGTCCCAGTTTTTAGCACTAGTACTTTGATTGGTCATTCAAAATAAGCATGTTATCATTTTGATCATGTTCTAGATACATATATGTAGTTGTTGCAAATGTATATTGCACAGCTGCAAATATTGCTTTTTAAATTTGCACCATTCATTGTTTCATCGCTTCTGGGCACTTTCGTGTATTGATTTTACAAAGTTGAAGAAATATTGGCATGAATGTACAACACAAATTACGATCATTATTTTTTTTCATTTTAATGTTATCGGTTTTTCAAACATCACTAAATAGTTTTTATGATTTAACTGATTAACTTTTGTTAAAATTTCAAAGGAAAGTGTGTGAAAAGTTATAACTTTCAAGCTGCATTGGAAATTCATTGCAAACAATTTATGTTCAATTTTGATGATTTATCTCCCTTTGTAGACCAAGTTGAACCTCTTTATTGATATCATCGTTATATTCCCTGCACCCCCAAAATGTATTCATTGTATGTGCATATAAACATTTATTAAGAGTGAAATGATTAGAGTCTCTGCTGATTCAGTTTTGTTTGTCAGTTTTTGATATTGTGGACAAAATTTCCAAACACATTTAACAAGTCCGACTGAATTCTACATAATTCTGAAAAACAAGAAGCGAAGATTGCATTTAAAAAAAATAGAAATCATATCTCTTTTACGACCAATAACAATAATTGGTCAATGCCTTCCATATATTATTGTGGATGTCATACACTAAGTTGTACTAGTCATGATCTTATAGAACTTCAATTTTAATGAAACTTTTTTAATACATTCGTGTGTGATTTTGGGATAAAATGTGTTATATTTCATTACAATTTCAATTTCAAAAACTGAGAAACATAAATTAGTGAGCTCTTTATCTGTTGTACTTACATTTGTATTTGTTGAACATATTATGCATATATTATATGCGTTTTCTACATATTTCCGTCTCCTCCTCCTCATTCTATTGTCGTAATAGAGTCTGTTCCTTTATCTTTTCCCATCGATCAATCTTTGTATTTTTAGAAGTCCCACTAGTTCGCATGTCCCTTCTCCTCTCTGTTTGCAGATTTGGACTTGTCCTCGTATTGTTTCTGACAAGTCTAACATATTTTAAGGGAGGACAGGAATACTAGTCAAGTGTTTAATGATGGATATTGTTGTATCTTATAACGATTAAAAAATACACTCGTATGTGTGTGTATATTTAATTACTTGATATGTATATACATTGTATTTAAGTAGATTGTAAATATAGGTCAAGATGTACATATTTCGTCCGTTTCAGTGCTAGATGTAAATCAAAACTAGGTCACGGTTACTTAGTCTACAAACTGTTTTAGTCTCATCTACCAACATTAATATATCAAAGCTCAGTAGAGCTGGTGGTTTATTCAAAACCTGCCATTTCAAAGGCAGGAAGAAAGAAAATACAATAATAATAAAAAATACAAAACTTATTTCTGTGTTGCTGTTGTTTGTTATTTTCATTTTACCGTAACCGTGATTAAACATCAACATAAAAATATTCGCTAATATGTGACGTTGTAACCAACGACATATCCTTTGTTATATTTTGACATAAATTCATCTTTTATGTTATGTTTCTAGTCAAGTTTTCTTTGTTAAGACTTAGATCGAACAATTTTTCTAAATATTCTTATAACGTACATACATATTAACTAAACACGGAACTATACACAAAGCCAAGAATGGAGCTTAAAGTTGAAACTGAAAAAAACCCAGACGAATCAATGATAAATAAATAAAAAGGAACGACTTCCCACGACACGGGAGGCAAATGCAGGTGTTACGGGAAAGCAAGGCAAGGCAAGTTACAAACGAAAACTATTCACATGGACAACATTGAGAAAGTACATAGAGAATAAACCGTTCTCGTGCTCAAGCATGAACTCTGCGGTCAAGCCAGTGTGACATGGTCAAAAGATAAAATATTAAGTTGACAACATTGTTCTGCTTTACATAAGACGACCCCCACCCAAAAACAGTTTCTTCCAAATTGACACATATTACATACAAATACAGCTATTTCAAATAAGCTTCAAATGTCATTTTACCTTCCAAAACATGGCCAGCTGTATATCTTGAGTCTTTAGGTTTCACATATCAAACTTGCACGGTAAATCTCCAGCACTAAATTAGTCAAATAAATATATTTGTTAGAGCACTGTAAACACTTGTTGTCACTGCAAAGGGCATGTACAATGTAACATTGTTCGGCTTTACATAAGACACCCACCCACACAAAAAATGCTTCCAAATCATGGAAAAATGTAAACTCTGTTAATTGCTTTATCACAAGAACAAGGAATAAGGCTTGAACACAGAACCTGTGTTTGATGATGAGAACGGTTTCATGAATAAGGGATGTGGTGTTTCGGAGGGTATATGTAAGTGTATTCTGCTTCATCGATACCCTTCCTGTTAATGTAGGTCTAATCAAAGTAATGTCACATTACCAAAGTTAGAACTAGGGTAGTAACAACAAAACCACAAAACGCCTACAAATAAAATAAAAATCGTCGATATTCATAAAGATGCAAATATAATGAAAACTGCAGAAATATTCTTCAATCGACGTCACTCAAAATTTATTGTTGTGTGTTAGTCTGTCAGCATTCGACATCTGTCACGGTAATCTCGGTATTCGAAGTACAGCATCCCTTGAATATCGAGTCAACCGAGACATGTAAACACTGCAGATCGGTTACTGAGGATGTCAGTCTCAAGTAAGTGAGAGGTTACGATAGTAAAACCGAAACAATAACACATATCATAGAGTTTATTAAATCAAGCAGTTCCTGCTGATCATGTGGTTAGTAAAGACCGGGGTAAGCGGCTGGGGCAGACGACTTTGTGGTGTCCTTGATTTCAAGTTCAGGAGATATATCGAACCCTTCAATTTTCCTCTCTTGAAAGGCGACTTTTTGACGAACATATTCCTTTGCCCATCGCTATTAATCTGACTGTGACTCGGCTTCGGTAACGAATAAGCGATCAAACTTGGTCAAACGATTTCTTGTCTTGAAAAGAGAACACTTCATCGGTATGTCTGAAAACGACGTTGAAGGAAGAAAACGCAATGTCTTTGTTACCTGCCCGGAAAGCTCTTCGCTACTTTCAGCTTCCTATGCAAAAAGAAAGAAAAAGAAAATAAAGGTGTTCTTGTAAGGAAACACCACGAAGGACCTACCTTTATGTACACTTGCCATCATGATGTCCAAGTCAGATTCAGAAACGTATGCTGGACACTAAATACCATAGACATGGCAAGTACAAGTTCATGGTTAGAGCTTTGAACGCAAATCTAGGTTTGGTAATTCCTTTTTGACATTTTTTTGGAATAGATCTTGAAACTGTAAATTTAAGGAAGATTCATGTCATAAAATACAAACCTCCATTAGATACTTAGCTAACATGTACGACTACATCATCTATATTAGCACAGAAGAGTTCCTCTTGGAGTTCCTTTGACTTGGAGTATTTACCCTACTAATTGAAATATCTGTCGAGGAAGGTGCGATTTGTAGGTAGGATCTCCCCGACAACTCTCGCTCATTCTCTCGTCCTAGGATCCAAGCCAAGTCTCTGATGTAATTTGTTTGTTCTTTTATCCATAACTTGTAATTTAAGTGTCACACATTACTTTCATAACAATGAGTGTCTAATAAGTCTCATGGTAGACTGGATGTAAGGGGTGATAAAATGGCTTATTTTGATGTAATTGTATAATAGTACCCTGTACGTGTGACACTAATGTGACAAGGAATTTTATTTTTAACTTTTTCAACTAAATTTTGACTTTTTCAATTCAATTCAAAAACTGTTTGGGTTGAAGTGAATTTCTATTTACGATCAGAGAGATGGCCGAGTCCTGAGACTATTAGATATAAGCAAACTCTCCAATGTATTCATTCCGATGTCGTTATCAGTGGTCTGGCCCTATGCCTTATATCACTCTTATCGCCTTATCTGACCTCTGTAACGACGGTACTCAATTAAAGGTTGGTAGAAATAATCAGATTTTGTTTCTTAATATATTGCCCAATTAGAATATTATATCAATATGACGGCTTAAAGTACGTATAAATGACACCTTCGTCTGTAATTTATCGACCAACTGTTTATGCTTTTTGTAATGAAATCATACGCTTCTTTATGGTTATACGACAATCTGTAACACCACACAATTTGGCATAAGTATAATTGCTTTGCATGTGACATATCAACACTTAAGAACATTATAGATACACTGAATAAAGTACTTAATTATACTTATAGGGCAAATGTGATTTACAATGAACTTTAAATTGATTAATGTTTGAGTCTAGTGTTGATGATCTCTATCTGCTCCTGTATTGGAAACTAACTTTAATCTTAACTTTATATCAAGATAATAAGTTCGCTACATGTACTGTTCTTTATATATCTCAGACGAGACTTGATAAGATATTTAAAGATTTTCTGTTGTAGGAAAAAGTTGTAAGTTTGTAACGCTACTAAAGGAGGTATATAATGCACATTCCCCACTCTATTACTACATATGTTTCAAGACATTTAAGCGAAAATTGCTTTTGACCTTAAGTAACCTTAATGGACGAAAAGAAAATACGGTGCAGTAGAACTATTTAGTTTGTTTGGCTTTCTACATCTTACTGAAAAAAGCTGCTTTCTTATTCGTATTTATCCTGACTAAAACACAGTAATATTTCAAACAAAAGTATTCACGTGAACATTTCTAGTTAATCTACTGATTCTCAGTGTATAAAACAAACAAACATAACTTCTTTTTTTCAGGACAATATGAAATTCATTGTCACACTTTTGGTGACTTGCGTTGCCGTTGCTAGGGCCGATTTAAAGGCTGATTTAGCCAGCCTCCTCCAGGACCTCACACCGGAAGTGACGCACGCCCTACAAGAAGGGAATCACCTAGCGGGACAATTGCTTCACCATGGACTGGAGGGATGGAACAGTAAGATGTGTATCTGTTGGTTTTGTTCCTAGAGGTTTCATTTTGGTTTCTGTTACCCTTTCATATTTACATTCTGTTATTGCCATTTGGGATAGACATTTATTTTATTTCACCAAATAGTTGTTACATTCTAACATCACAAGAGAATGAAATGACTGATATTATTTATAATTGAATGCTATTTTCAACTAGAAACACCAACCTCAGACATTATGGTTTCAATTTAAAACGAACATGTAAAAGCTAATTCAATTTCCGATATTTTCAGTGTTGTTGCGTCCAACAGTCTTTGAGAACAGAAGAGAAGCCAGGTTAGTCACACTAATTAATGATCTATTAGCTGGACATTCCGGAACCTATAAGTAACCTCATGCCAATGATCTATCCATCACATGTGTAAATAGAGGAACTTCAATGATTTATCTATATGAATTATGTAATCGTTATTAATATACATTGGAAGATTAATATCAAAAGTTTAAAAAATAATTTTTATAGTTTGATAAAGCATTTAATGTGTACCGAAATTGTATTGGGAGTCAAACAAACGATTTATTATGATATTGTGACACAGAGAAGCAGCTGCTTTCAATAACTTAATTAAATGTTAGATAAAATGAAACATGTACTGATATTCATCACATTGGCATTCTTAGCCATCTTACAGATGAAATGAGGCAAAAACTGCAGACTCTTCTGGCAGAAAAAGCGGATGGGTTTGGATCCCTTATGAGGGTAGCTCTAGGGAGACTTGGGTCCATTGCTTTGAAGGTTGGAAGTCTTAATTTCCTTCAACAATCCGATGAGACGTTAAGCCAGGAAATTGAAAATGTCATTAGTAAGCTGTTTAGGAAGTCTCAAAATGATATATTCAATTCATCAGCTTGGAAGTGTATCGAAATTTTACTTTATACACCAACAATTTAATACTATTTAGATGCGGTTTAATACGTTCATTGTTTAAGGAATGAAATTGATTTTTTCAACATTCAACATTGGCTTTCTGGACATAATCCATTACTCGCGTTAGCGATTCACACTAAATATGTCATATACATATGTTTTTTTTAAATAGTTTTATTTTCTATTTATACATTGGAACAATACAGTGGCGAGAATAGCAAGTTTGCATGGGAAAATGAAGAACTTTCGGTTGGAGTCCTGGCAACAGCACAACAACAAAACAAACAAAATATAGTTCCATTTTCATAATTGAAATTGTAGAATGTATACAAGTCGTATTTTATCATCATATACTTTACACACCTTATTTTTGCTTTAAAGTCAAGTCTATTATGTAAAATATTCATTCGTATTAGCATAACAAAACTACACAGAGGGATTATTCACGGCGAACGTGAACCAAATACGCCGAGTGCAACGTCATGAGGCCCGACATATAGTGTATCTATACGCAGTGATGAGGTCGCCTATGGGTCCAAGCATACATAATTTAAATATTTGTGTAAAAAGAAAACATTAATATTCAAAATTATATATTTAACAAAAACTCTGATGAGCGACATTCCGAATTTCAAATGGATATTTCTTGTTTCTTTCTCCGTTTGTTATGTGATTTAGTTTATAATCAACAATTTGTATACATATAGATTCACAGTGATACACTTCTATTTTTTAATTCTTCTTGGAATTGTCCAGTAAGAGGTATACATTGGCGAAGAGGAATCGTATTGTATCCACCTATACTGTTATATGTTAATAGCTGGTCATCATACTCTCTCTGACGCACTGCTGGTTGGCATCACCAACGAAATTAAAGACATGATCACAGGACCAACCACGTCAGGTGATCTAGATCTTGGGAGCAGTTTTGCCACAGACATGAAGCCGCATCTACATAGCATTAAAACGGTAAGTAAACGCACAAATTCGACATACTTCATAACATTTATATTATTCGGGTATCTAAAGATGCCTTTAACGGGGCCCACACTGCCCTTTGTGTTGGTATGTCTTCATTTCCTCTAAGCGGGGCTCGCTTTGCCCTTTGTGTTGGTATGTCTTCATTTCCTGTAAGCGGGGCTCGCTTTGCCCTTTGTGTCGGTATGTCGTCAGCTTCTGTAGGCGGGGCTCGCTTTGCTTTTTGTGTCGGTATGTCGTCAGTTCCTGTAGGCGGACTCGCTTTGCTCTTTGTTGCAGGTGATCGTGCTGTTATTTGTGTTTGTGTATCGTCAGTTCCTGATTTTTGTTTTTTGTTTTTGTTTTGTTTGTGGGAGAGGGGTCTTGCGGTTTGTGTCGATGTGCCGTCAGTTCCAGTTGCCGTTCTTTCATATCAATTCGTAATCGTTGGTTATGTTTTTTCGGGTAGAAGCTTTGGCATATTTTTTTATCTTTACTTGATAGAATTATATGTTGTCATTCTGAATTAAACAATAAAATAATTTGATAATGTTACTTCTTAACGAACTGTGTCTCAGTTAAGTTTCGTCTATTTGGAACATACAGTTTTTTATATACCACCTAGGGTAAAATACTTATTCTATGTTAATTCTATAATTTATGTTTTAGTTTGTAGCAACTATGGGTGCCACTCTCAAACAAACTATTGACGAAGTTCTGGTGACAATTGAGCATGCCTCAAGTTCTTCTGGTAAGATATTGGCGTTGCATTACGATGCAATAACTTTACAAACATGCATTGCAAAGATTTGTTTAAACATAATAAGAGTATCAAGGAACTATCCAAACATATCAACTTAATTAATGGTGGTCGGATGGCACGATGGTAAGTACTCGCCCTTAAAGACGACATGGATTCGATTCCCCGTGAATGTATCATGGCATGCCTGACCACGCGTGTTCTCAATTCCGGTTCTCTAACACATTAAGATATCCCCTGTGCACTTCCATCCGGAGCAAAATAGTGTAAACTTGTTGTATAGTTGTTAGAAAATAATATACGTTTTAGTAGTTTGTATTATATATACCGATGTAATTAAACAGGCACTGTTTCTGATGCAGATGGTGTCTCACAGGACGTCATTCCACAGCTGATCTCCGTTATACAGACAGGACGGCAGAACATAGTGGATATAGGCCAAAAGCTGACCAATTCTCTGGCCAACAGTGTCATTGAAGCAATAGTGAAAAATGCCCGCACATAATATATCAATAAAAATAAACTGGGAAAGAAACCTAGACTTCTGTCGTCAGCTTTTTTCTTCTGTATAGAGATATTGATTTTTCACTCAGAATTATTAGTTTTGGTTTTGCTTTACGTTCTTTTAACAGTTATGGTCATTTAAGAACGAGCTTAGTTCTGGTGTTGGGGGGAAAACCGGAGTACCTGAAGAAAATCCACTGACCTGTTGCCAGCGCCTGTAGACTTCCCCACGTAGGCCTCAAACCCGTGACCTATTGACGGGGAACTAGAATGTCAGATGCCGTAACCATTTGGCCATACCGGCTTACATAATAATGCATCACGTGTATACATAATTCTAATGATTAAATCCGATCTTATGGTCACCTTGCATATAATCCAATATACGTTTTAAATATATTATCAAATCTAATTACAATGAGTACATCTTGCCCAGGTGTTCCGTTCACATTTAAAACCATGGTTCGTTCTTCTTTATGTATATCACGAACGTGATCTCCTGATGTATAAATAGAAATGACCTGTATGATAAAGGTCGTGACTTTGTAAGGAAAGGTCATTTACACAATCCAATGCTGGTTTCGGTCTCCATTTCAACATATGTTATATTTTTGAAACCTTCACTTAAACAAACGTTATCTCTGATTTGATGACAGACAAAAAATACTAATTGCCTTGACTGCAATGCTTGTTAAAATATATATATCTGTACATTTCAACTTTTAAACACTTGTAGCAGGATACGAAAAACGATTCTATGTAGTCATTGTAGAACAGGTTAGAATGGCTCTACAAAACTTAGTTTGTTCCTCAGTGTTGTTAAGTGTTAAAATATTTAATTAATTTTCGAGATATTAATTGACATTTTATTTACATATTATCAAAAGCATATGTGAGAAATTTATCATTTACCCTTGAATGTTTCGCTACCAAAACTGTTAACAGAACATCTTCGACAGTGGCATTGATTGAATATATTTCATGTGTATTTGTCTTTTGATGGTAAATAGGGAAATTAAATATTTCATTAGAAATGATAATAAAACAAATCTTTCTGATATCACTATGCGATTAAGTCAAACAATAGACCATTATATTGTTGCTGTTTAGTTTCATTTATGTTTTGGCATGACGTCATTTTGAAAATTAATATTTGATTTATTTTGTGTGATTGAATTGTTTTTTTACTTGTTAAAGCTGAACAAAGAAACAGAATAATGAATCAAAATGATCTGAATGGAAACTTTGTAGTTATTAAATATTTAAAAAATTCTATGAAAAGGTATATAATGCAGTATATATTTGGCTTTATGCCTCGACATATTAGATTTTAAAATGTTTGCTTTCTTCATTGTTTTTGCGGTGATTCTGCTGGTGGATTATCGACTTTTGAGATTGACCGCAACCTTTTAGCTGGAATTTATTCAAGCATTGTTTACATACAATACTATTTTAAGAATAATAAGCTATTTGTTGTATCAAAAGAATGTACATTTTTTATTTTATGACGTGTTTTCTAGGCACAATTGCCCACATATGTATCGGAACACCGTATATGTGTTCTTTTGACGTTTAGTACCACTAATATCGTGACACAATTATGAATACATCTATCATATTCTTTGAGTCAGCGTCAATGCATGTCGTCCCAAATCAAATCCCTTTGAAATTGCGTTGGAAATCACTTCCATTCACTTTGACACTAAACTTGTTATAATGATATTAAGCTAGATATTTAAGAACAAATACTTTTTGAAGACTCTTTACCAGTTACAATACTAATTTTCCTAAAAGAGAATATAATTGTTATCATGAAATAAATTATTTCCAATAATGAACTTTTGAAAAACTCATTGAGTTATTGACGGACTAATCTTTTGAAAAGAAAAAGAAATATTTAATCATATGTTTTTGCGTATTTCAAAAGCATGGGATCTCAATCCTTAAATTTTTTAATCAAAATTTAAAAGTTCTATTTATTTAACAACTTTCTAACCATCCTCTTTTCACCCAGTCATAAGACTTTTCCCACCGCGAAAGATAATTGCAAAATACATATATTCTCTTTCAACTAATTCATATATTGGATAAGACTGTTTAGGTCAGCTAGTACTTGAACCAAGAATAACGTATAAACTGTAAACGTCTGATTTCGTATCTCTATTGAATATTCGAAAACCGAATTATCAATTATTCTAACGTTTTTCTTCTGTGTTGAAGTTTTCTCTTACTTTTGTAGTTACTGTTACTACATGTGCAGGTTCTGGAAAGAAAAGGCCTGTTGTGCCCGACTGCATGATTGTTAGATGCGACTAATGTACACCCACCCCCCACCCCCGGACCCCTGCATAATAGTTCGGGCTGTTCCCTCCTTGTCTTCTGTTTAGGTGACATTGAAGAAACCAAGTACAGACCTGCTGTATCCCTACGCATGTGGATTGTTAAAGGCAGCTTATGTGAGGCCCCCTGCAGAATCGGGTTTCTTTCTTCTGTGTCTTATACCGAGAGGACATTGAAAATACCAAAATGGATCTGCTGCCCCTATTTGCAATACTTGGGGTTTATTTCGTTTTATATTTTCTGTCTTTCCTATATACTTTCGCTTCCCTGCTGTCTTTCCCTAGGCGCCCGTCCTCATTTGACCCGGGCTGTTTCGAGGATGTTAAACCACCAACAATTAAAATTGATATTACTTTTTATATATGATTTTGTGATAGGACGTTTTAGTTTTTAATTTTACTTTATTTTTATTTTTTGGCTTTCTGCATTTGAAAGAACATAAAGACGCTAATGTGGTTTGATGAATTTTAATAATGTTGTTATATTATCATTGAACTTTGACCTCAGTTATGCTGAGCTGTTGAACGAAAGCGTTACCGGCGTTTAGTTCAGGACATCGGGCTGCACGTCGGACAAGGCTTGATCTGAAAAGAGACAATGGGCTATAGAATATTTGCATTACAATTCATTGATTCGGCAACCCATTTTATGATGTAAATGCCAATCTTTAATCCCATGTTGTTAACTCAATTATGCAAATTCTGAAACCTAATAGTGAGATGCTTGAATGAATGCATTACTCACTGGCATATTGTTTTAGTCATTTAACAAGATGAAAAATATGAAGATTGAACGGAGAGAGCAGAGAGCATTGTGACGCTACAATTGTAATACGTCATAAAATGAATATTCGCTTGGTGTTTCTGAAAATCCTTTACCTTCATGTGCTTTCATCAAACCAATGATAAAATGTGTGTCATCTCATATTTTCAATAAGATTAATCATTAAGTCGAAATGTCCGTTTCGAGTGACATATGAAATTGACAATTTACAATTTCGTCACATCGTTAACGTTGTACAGGTAAACAATACAAATCGCTCACTCAGTCATACCTTGACAAAGGGACCATTCAGACGTTGCAATACGTTTTATAGTACATTGTTTGTCTATAAAGTAAATCTTTGACATGTTGTATGTACTATTGTATTGTTTTAAATATCCTGTATACATGTACGTGACTAGTTCTTAATAGATCACCTGCTGTGACATTTTAAACCAATGTCCAATGCATTTATAGTTGGAGATGGCGAATGAGATATAACAGGAATACTACTATTGGTATATTGTTTACTTGTTTACATGTATTCGGTTCATAATACGATATGGCAATAGTTATTCTCTTATGCAAGATTTTTTCAATTTATATCGTTAAAGAAAGATATAGATAGAACAAAAAGTGATGACGTCGAATACCGCAATGTTTGGCAGGTTATTTGTTATTCTAAATTCTGATTGGCTAAAGTTGCTTGGCGCTTTACTTATTGCGCAATATCGATAATAATAATAATAATAATAATAATAATAATAATATACAACATTTATATAGCGCCCTATATAATTTGTAAAATTACTCTAAAGCGCTTTACAACATATGGATAATAGTATTAGTTATAATTGTGAAGAGTTAAATATTGCGTTTTGTGCAAAATTACTGTTTTTATCAGAAATGAATAAATTAACTATCCATAAGCTATGAACTTCAATTTTTTGGGGGTTATCAGGTACAAATGTTTAGCAAAACAATAGTATGCACTTTTATGTATAAACATTTTTTTGTGCTTTATGCAAAGTGAATGTTGTTAATTTTATTTCGGTATGTACCGTATTACCGCCAAAATAATTCCGGGAAATCCTTAATAATATTTAAAACAACCAACGTCACTCTATCATCTTATAATACGTATTGATTTGATTTAAATCAGAAACATGTCTAAAACAGGCGGAGACATGAATTGACAAGTAAATACATATCCATTACAGCGATTTATCACGTAACATTTACCGTAAATCGAGATATTATAATAAAAGGATGTTTATCATTAATTAAAAATGTTTAAGTATAGTATGATTTAAAGGTTATTTAAAATGTGTCTGCGATATTGGTGCTGATTGTTACAGAGTGTAATGCAAACCATCAAAGTTCATTCAATACTCGTGAATATTTGGAAGAACATTTAAATGTTTATTAAACCATCTCCTTACATTATCCTAAGATGTGTGCAATGTCTGCGCTTGTATACCAAACATTAAAATTACCAGATAAAATGCTGTACTCATTATTCCAAATCCTGACTTATTTATCATTAAATATTAGGAAAGCTTATTGATGGTTTAAAAGTACACGCGCATACTATTTTATGATTATTATTATATCTGCCCCCAACCCACCTCCCCAAAAACAATAAAATGATTAACAAAATGAATAATGATATAAACGATTGTAAAATAAACTTTCATATAACAATCAGTCATTCATATGACCAAAGTGGTAGCACAAAATATTTTCGGTATTTACATTTTCCCCCCTCTTCAACTTGACACGACAAATTTGATACATGTATACGTACGCATGACGCCAGACATGACGTCTTTGAGGGCATGGAGTACATTCGAGCCTTGGTTAGCGATGACGCGACCAGTACTTCCGATGTGAACCACTTGTTTGGCAAGTTTTCCGCTCAGCTGTCCAAGTGTTTCTGCCATAGATTGAGCTATGGTCGCAGATTCTTGTTTGATGACAGATCCGGTATTGTGAAGAATCTGTACGAAAACATTTTATGACAAAGTGTTTGAACATCGCAGCCCAGAAAATTAAAATGTATAAGAGAGTTTAAAGCAATCAACAGTGTACTCAGATTTTAAACATAAAGTATTCTATAATTGAAGTGATTGAAATGCAGCCTGTGTTTCTATTTTACTTAACAAATGAGCCAAAGGGCAAATCAGAAAACTTATTTGTGAGAGAACAATGAAATAAAACACCGTCTTGCTACTGATAAACGGTAGTGTATATGGAATTTATTAAAGAAAGAGTTTGAAATAATTAAATGAAAAACAAAACATTAACTTAGTTATGAAAAATACGGACAATTAATCTATTTTTACTCAATTATGTTTTGGAATTGCTGAAACAAGAAACAAATATTCATTTTGAAATTAACAAAACAACCAAATATATTTAAATCTAATAGGAAATGTCTATTTTAATAATATAACTGACATCAGTGATTTGTATGTATTTGATAGCACAGCTTACGTTCTCCACGGCATGCACATGGGTGGTAAACACTGAAGCGATATTATTTCCTATAGAGGACAAAGTATCGGATATAACGTTCCTCTTCTGGTGGGAAGTCAAAGCAGACTGGAGTTCATGGAGTAAGTGGTTGGCCAACACGTGGTGGGAAGCTTAAGTAAAAGGAAGAAGACAGCAATATATTTTGATAAAAGAACGATTTTGAAAAGGAGTCAATTGAAGTACGACCTGATATAATGGCGGATTCAGGATAATTATATCATTTATTACTCTTGAAGTTGGTTTTGTGTCCACTCGAAATTCTGTGAATGAAAAGGACAATGTCTCAGCTAACTCTCCTCTACCCTTTCTATGCAAACATGTATCTCGAATCACCCCCTAACGACCCAGGACATCTTTTAAGTAATAGCATTTTTTGCACTGTCGTTGTATTTTCATGTATATTATATCATATGTTCGATGATTATTAATTATGATTAATTAAGTAAAAGAATCAAATTGTATAGGATTGTTCTCACATACCGACGACATTGTCCACCTGGGCAGCAATTTCCTCAGGCGAGAGTTGGGTGATATGTTGAGAAATCTCCTCCAATCTACCCATCGCTGACTGGAATACACCTTGTAGTTCATGGCTTTTGGAGCCTATGGTGGCGTGTGCAAGATTGTAGAAAGGCGTGAGTTGCTGAGTGATTGCACTGGAGAAAATGTAACACACCAAGATGTATACAAATGTAAACAGAAAAGCTAATCAAAATAACCAAATTGGACAAAAATAGCTATACCGGAAGTATAAACGATTCCTGATCCGTTTGTTGAATCTGTCATAACGTTTCCTGGGAATGTGTTCTGAGAGACCTGCGACCTATCCGAGATCGGGATAAGAGTTTATGTTATCTGTGTTATAAATGGTAATATGTGTGCGTTTACCCTTAAGTGATGCGCTCAAGTACATAGCAACTTTCTTTATGACAAAATGCTTGCATCTGACAGGTATGAACCAAATGTAACATAAGGAACACATACACGTGGATTCTATAACGCTTCATGTTTTAGTTATTGTTGCTTAAATATGCTTATATCTGCAACATTCAGCTTTTATTCTATATCTGAGAATAAAAGAGGGCAAACCATGCCACAAAAAGCCAATGACATCACACGTGTTCCAGAACCTGACAAGGCTTTCATGTATTATGTCAACCGTTGGAAATAATCGCTTAAATGAGCCTTTACTGTTAGGTTGCTACTTGTAAAGTAGATTGAACTAAACCAAAATGCATTACCCTTGAACAACAAGCTCACCTTAAATCACGTTTTGTGGCCGGTGCTGAGGTAGCACTAAATGCGTTCATGGTTCCAAGCAATAAACCTAAATAAAATTTGGATCATTTTATTTTTCAAAATAATTCTTTTGAGGCTAAGTCTTCTAAAAAAATTTATCACTACTGATATATAAGGAATTTTAACGTGTCTGTTATCATATGTTACTAAATACCTCATACGGTATGATCTGTCAATACGAAACAATACCAAAACAAATGACGTAGTTGTAAAAGTAAGGTTCTGAATTGCACAGGTTCATGAAAAGACACAAAGTGATATCTTGTTGACTACTTAATTCCGATAACCTGATTACCAATCATTCGTTTGAAACAGGTCAAAGTCTACTATAATTAGAACTCGAAAATCGATAAAAGAAGCAAACTGTGAACAAAGAAAATATTTCTATGAATACCCTTATAAAGAGCAAGGATAATACGTCAAGGGATTTCTGAAGGGTAGGCGTCCTCTGCTTCATCGACGAGGCCCGTTCAAGAAATGCCACGTCCTCGTAGCGAGAACCAGGTAAGTCATAACGAAACAACAAGGCAAACGTAACAGTAAAACGATAGACATAATAATAAAAAACCATCAGCCTTCCTAAAAAGAAAAAATAACGTGTTATCCTATAAGATCAAGATGGAGACCATAAAACGTGTCCATAGCCTACATAAATCTGCATTGTAAGAGGCGACTGATGTTGGCGCCCCTGCAGAATTGTGGTTTTGCTTTTGTGCCCTCTACTTGGGGACACAAAAGCGACAAAGGATATTTGCTGCACCCATTGCAATATTTGGGATCTTTATATTTCTTTCTTTTTCTAACTACATGTATCTTTTATTTCCTATTTGCTAGGTAACACCTCACTTTTGGCTTTGATGTTGAATGTTCGCCCAGGTGAGGAAGGCAATGGGTTAATTCTGTCACCAGGCCGGGACATACCAAAGTCCTTAAAAATGGTAGTTGTTATTCCCTGCTTAACTTTCAGCATTTACGAGAATGGCAACAGCTGGTTCACTCGTTGTCATTATAATATGACCGGGCGGAATGCTCCGGCATGGTATTTCAATGTGATAGCAATATAGATTCGGCATCAGATCCGTGCTATCACAAGGAGGCAAATACACCAACATACTCTGTCTCCAGTACACGTGTACACATGCAGGCATTCACAACACACATGGAGGCTCGATCCTTCATGACCTTATCTGTTAATAGGACATTAAACAAAATATTACCAAACCAAACTATCAGCAGTCGACATATACCAAGGAAATTGAATACTGATTCAACTGCGACATGTAAACACAGGGCATGTACAGGTTATGTTGTAAGTGAGCATAACAGAAAGTGGCTGTAGTAAACACACTCCTCCTTTTGTACGGAGCATTAGAATATTGAAAGATTAAAAAAACCTACTTTGAGCTGTCTCCCCAAGAAGTTGTTTTCCGTGTTCCGCTGCCTGGTTCAGCAGCTGTTTGCCGACATCAGTTGCTTGCTGGCCCATCACGTGGAGGGACTGAGTAAATGCATCTCCGATGTGAGAGAAGGAAGCTTTAAGGCTGTCCAGAAACCCGGACCCATTGGCTGTGGAGGTCAGCGCTAGGCACAACGTCAAGGCTACCAAAACTTTCATCGCCGTGCTGTGTTAAGGCTAGAAGAAGTAAATGGTAAGACAACAATTATTGTATCTATCTGACATAAATACAAATTTATATCATCGATACATAGATATAAACAAATTTATTTAAGCGATACATATATAACCTATATATGCAAATATATATAATCGATACATAGATACATGTAACCCATATATAATATACACCAATTGATATATTCGATAAAAAGTTAATCAATATATAAGATATACAAATTGATATCATCGATACTTAGATAACCCCTATATAATATATACCATATGCAAATTAATATCATCGATACAAATGTAACCCACATATAATATAAACAGATTAACAAAGTCGATGCATAGGTATCTCGTTTATAATAAACACAAGTTAACATTTTGTTTGGCTTTTCTGAATTGACTTCTTAATATTTTCTAAGATAAATAAATGGTACCACCTCTTATTTCTTGGTTGATGGTACCCAAATTGGAACACTTTGAATAAATGTGATGCAGCAGTTTCTATTTTGCAATAAAAATGAATGGTATGTTTGCTCAATTATTATTTATATAGTTTTATGCATTTTGAGCAAATTTCATCTGCCTACCTCTTAAACATTGCTCATAAACTCAGTTGAAATATTAAAAAAAATGAAATGAAAAAGAATCCCGGGAAACGGTATGGTGCGACAACATAAAAATTCTATCATATTTTTAAACATGGAAAACAATATGCTTAAACAAATATTTTAGGGTTTAAGTGGCTGAAAGTGTTCCATTTCGGGTACTCGACCAGCTTAAAATTTTAATTGAATCTGACTCACTTTAATAAGCTCTATAAATATACACACGCGCTGTTGATACCCAATAAATACAAAAAATGAAGGCTAAAGGCATATATTGATTCATTACAGTAACAAAAAGTGGTCTTTCAGAAAAAACAATATTTTCTTTAAAAAGTGTTTCATGTTCGGTACCACTCACCATAGGGATCCTTTTCTGAAGTAAGTATGCACATTGTCAAGCAATGTGAATACTCAAAATCCCATGTAATGTATAAGCAAATTACGTTATGAAGTATGAATAGACTTTTTTGTATAACACAATTGTTTAGGTATAATACTTTATGTAAACTGAACATTACAACTGGTAGAGGAAGAATAGAACGGAACGTCACAGCATCAGTATACAAATACAATGCCGAATTCAAAACATAAAATACAACGGGAATCGAGGAAAGGGAAAGTTGATAAATCTGTTAAAGATACTGACACTGGAATTAATAATATACAATGAAAAACAAAACATGCTATGACTACTTTTTATTCTACAGGATGAGTTGGATGATATTGGCAAGAAACTCGTGTCGTATTGTACAAAATAATAATTCATCTTTAAGTTTCAATATGAATTTAAATATCAACAAAATATAATTCAAATTTCAATAATATGCTCCCCTTGTATACTAACTTGTATTAAACATTTCAAGTCTTTGCAAATGATAAAATATGTTTTAATATTTTCCTTAACTTTCATGTGGTTCATACAAGTTGAAGATTTTACTACATGAGTGACACTATCTTTAGATAAGAGTATGTATTATCAGCAAAGTTTACCTGTAGTGTACGACGATCCACACGAAATTGACCGCTGCCCTATATTGTCGGATCATTTATCTTTCCTATTTCAACACAGATGTTCATCTTTCCATGATTAGATTAGAATTACACAAGGAACGACACTGCGCGTGTAAAAACTAACAAATAACGACAAGAGAATAAATACTGAGATGTGAACAAAACCACACTTCGAACTCCAAAGCGATAAAACTTGAGCAAAATATGAAAAAAAAAAAATAAAAAAAATACGGGGACCATTGGAAAAGAACAACCAGATCAAGACCAGGTGTTCAACAAGGGTTAGCATCTTCTGCTTCATCGACGACACACGCCATGTAAATTATAAACGTGTACAATCCAATTAATGTCACGCCCTCACATAACCAATTAAGATAGTGACAAACAACAAGGTACACTAATGAGCACTACAGACATCGGCCTTCATATCTCACCAAGAAAAAACATTTTTCTCTACGAAATCATGCTGGCGATCATAAAACGTGTACATAGTTTTCATCAACACGCATGTTTAGAAACCTTGTGTTGTAAGTTTGTCAGTCAGCAGTCAATATCTATCCCAGAAGTTCGCAGATATTCGGCGCAAGCTCTCGAAACCGCTGCAATAAGTTAACACCGCAGGTAAGGGAAACAGGTATGTCACTATCAAAAAACGGAAAGTTCACGTTGGTAAGTTGAAATCGTCGCGGCTATCGTACAGCTTAGTTGTAAGTAAAGATCGAGGAAATCGTCTTTAATTTCATTTATTTTAAGCTGACGAGGGTATATACGACAGATGTGGTCAATACATTTCTTGTTATGTGAAGAGAGCATACAAAAAAAGAAAATGGCAGGAAGTGGAGCATAGTTTGTCCCTTAGGAATGAATACAGTCTGCTTAAAAATCTGCCATCAAACTCAACAAATACTAGGAACGCAGTGATCCCACAAAATCGTCCATATTTCATTTAAGTCTTGGTAGTGCTTTTTTTCAGAATATGAACATAAATAATTTCGGCTTTCTTGGAAAAATAAAACTACAAAAATAACTGATCGAACACGTTTCTTCAGTTAGGTATGCGGTTTTGTAGTGTATAAGGTCGAAACGTCAAAAACTTTGATAGAAGAAACGTTTTTGAGAAGAGTAGAATGTTCAAGATTGCTAAAAAGATCTTTTGAATTCTTGCGAATCCACATACCATATATTCCACTTCTTGATTATACAGTCTCACAATACGTCTGCAATCCAGATATAATGGCACTTTTAATTGTAGTGAGAGGATAAAAGAGCGGGATAATCAGCCAATGAAATTGGAACCTTTAGCTTTTAATGATACACCTTGTGACGATTTAGTATGTGATAGCAGCCATCTCTTACTAAGTGGTAAAACATCGCGAAGTTTCATGCAGAAGCTGAGGTGTTAGAAATAGTAAAGTTTCGGAGCGGAAACAACAGTCAACGCATCTGATTTACATAAATGTAAGTGATTGGCATTGAATGACATTGACAGTTTGACCTTTAACCGAATGATCCGAAGATATACCCTCATCGTAAGGAATATTTCCTGTTCTCCAAACCCACCACATGGATACTATTTGTATTTTTTTGTTTTGATTTGCATAATTATGACCCTCCCCCGTCAAAAGCTTATTACATTATATTATGACATCAGAATTGATTGTTCTTCTACCGTCATGATGTTGTTTCTTTACATGTGCTATCTGTCATACCCTTGGAGAAGGCTGAAGCCCTAGTGGAAGGAAGAGAAGTCCTGATCAGGTAAACCGGGAAATGATTCAGTAAATCACAGGAGATGGATATGTCTGAATCCGAATTTCGAATTGTTGAGAAATAAAAAAAGGTATACGTAGCTCTTGAATGTCTACGCATTTTTGCTATTTAAGTAGAAGACACAATCAATTAATCTAAAAGTGCACTGAGTTATCATATCTCTTTTATTTTGCAGATATTTTATTAAATAATATTTTGATTTGAAAACATAATAATGAACTATTAACTTTGCGTATTTATTACCAAAAATAGCAGACCACGTTAAGCTTTTTTCTTAATTACAAAAACATAAATACTCTTGACATTGAATTTATTCTTATACGAATTTTTTGGATATGTAATATACACTTAAATTAATGCTGTTTCAAGTCTGCACATTTTCTCTTAGATAAAACGATAATGATTTTAAAGTAGTCATAATTTATGTTCGGCAGTTTCGTAAAACATAACGTATACATGTACCGGATCCCGTGAATTTTGCCTTTTTTGTTTTGTGGATTCATAACGATGTTTCTAGGTATGTCTTCATTTTATATTGTGGCATGTTTGTGTCGAATTTTGTCTTTTTGTGTTAACGATATGGTTTATGATATCTATTTTGCTTTTATCAATATCTATATATCAGTGCGTATGGTAAATACAATGTACCATCCTTTTACAAATTATTAAGAATTCGTGTACAAAAATATTTGGAATTGTTAGACAAACATATTTGACTGCATTTAGTAGAGGAATTCACCCACAAGCAAAACAAACGCTTTTTTTTTCTTTTCTGTTTTAATAAACCATTTTCAAAAACATCAGCAACTTTGTTAGTAGATTTATTGCGTCTGTGGGCCTGATGATGGTACTAGGTTGTGGAGAGCGGTTTGAGCTACTTGGGCCGCGGTTTCTGCGAAGTGTTCACCAATCAGAGCCAACTGTTGAGCAAACTGATTCAGAAAATCAGTATCGCTGAAATAATATATAACAAGAGTAATCATACGCAATTTCACTAACAGTCGTTCTCAAACGTTGTGTTATAACTCACCTTTATTTTATGTAAGACTTATCAATATACAATTAAACATTTAATACATGCAAGGTTGGTTAGACTGTTATAAACAAACATTGTTGAAATTACCTTCTCTTTGGGGATGCTGATGGTACTAGGTTGTGGAGAGCGGTTTGAGCTACTTGGGCCGCGGTTTCTGCGAAGTGTTCACCAATCAGAGCCAGCTGTTGTGCAAACTGATTCAGGAAATCGGTATCACTGAAAATAAAAAATGAAAATGAAACAAAACACGGATAAACAGTAGGATACTCCTCACAATCGTGGAAACTAATGATTTTCTTGCATATTGATAATTCCCAATGTATATGCAGATATATTAAATGAACCATCCCTATTAAAATCACCTTCTCTTTGGGGATGCTGATGGTACTAGGTTTTGGAGAGCGGTTTGAGCTACTTGGGCCGCGGTTTCAGCGAAGTGTTCACCGATCAGAGCCAATTGTTGAGCGAACTGATTCAGGAAATCGGTGTCACTAGAAATTAAAGCGAAAATGAATCAAACACGTAAAATTAGCAGTATACTCCTCACCATAGTAACAAACAATGTTTTTCTTACATATTGTTAAATTCAAATGTATGCGCAGACATATTAAATGAACCATCTCTATTTCAAAAACCTTCTCTTTGGGGAAGCTGCTGGCACTAGGTTCTGGAGAGCGGTTTGAGCTACTTGGGCCGCGGTTTCAGCGAAGTGTTCACCCATCAGAGCCAATTGTTGCGCAAACTGATTCAGAAAATCAGTGTCGCTGAAAATGAAACAAAACATGGGTAAAAAGATGGATGGTCCACACTCTCAACAAAAGTAAGAATCTCGATTTAATCTAGATTCGATACAATTTTTACTTTATAGACTTTGCATTATTTTCCTTTCATCTCTTACTGAGAGTCTTCACTAAACAAACTAATTGCAAATATATTCAAAATACACAGTTAGAACAATACTGCCTTACTTATTTCCCTTTTCGCACCAAGATCAATATAATGACTGACGATAACGAGTAACACATCAGTGTCGCGATGTTTTGATTCTTATTTTTGTGGTAGACATTAAATTCAGCTCAAAATAAACAATGACATATTAGGAGATTGCAAACATTTGGAACAGAAACCATTTTAGTCAGTATTACCCCTTCCTGTGAATAGCATTGGTACTAGGAAATTGAGACTTTTGTAGCCAAATCGGCCGGGATGGCAAAGGAGTGGCTAACTGCTGTTTAAGCTACTGCTTCGAGCAACCGGTTTCGTGTACATGCAAAAGTACACAATTGCGTACTCCTCCCCACATATTCTATTATTGGAACAATACGTTTAATATATAAATACACTTGTCAAATATTCTAATACACACTGTTAGTATTAATTAACCATGGAATTAGTAATATAAATTCTAAATATATTTATACATACATTATTGTTAAATTTACGGTCACTACTGAAGCAGGATAATTATAATCGGGGTTAGCGTAGCGCGAAATCCTCGTTGACTTTTCTCAAGTGTTAAAATAATTGTATGGTTTCATACACAATTAAGAGTTTTGATTCTAAGGAAATACATTAAAGAAATGCGCGAAGTTTAAATTGTACCATTTTGTTCGTCAGACATCTCATCGAAGTTAAGACATTATTTTACGACAATGTTCTGCATTTGAATGTTCATTTTTAAGAAAGTGACAACCAAATTAGAAGCAAGTAACAAAGCGTGTTTTTACAACAAATAACTAGTGTAAACTGTTTATTTGTAGCAATTGTGATCTTAATATAAATGTGACATTTTGATGAATAAAAAACCGTATTTCATGACGGTTTCAAACATAATAATACCCAACGTACCTTCTATGTAGTGATGATAACGGCACGAGGTTTTGTAGAGAGATTTAGGTGTACACGAATTGGATTGATGGCTAGAAACAAATCATTACAACAATTACCTTCTCTTTGGTGATGGTACTAGGTTTTGTAGTGCGATTTCAGCTGCATGAGCCGCGGTTGCTGCAAAATGTGCGCCAATCTGAGCCAACTGTTGTTCTAACTGGTTCAGTAAGTCGGCGTTGTCGCTGATCATTAAAACAGGATGATAATTTATCTTATTCGTACAAATTTCACACATCTTTCCCCTGTAACTATGGTACAAATCGACGCCAACAGTGCAAATACAATAATAAACATAATAGAAGTTCTAGATGACGCAGCAGAAATAAACCAATGTTTCGAGATTGTGATGGCGTCATGTTTTAAAACATCACAATAAAAATGTGTATGACAAACGATTCAAATTTGCATTTATGATTCAGAAATAAATGTGATACCTTTTCTTGAAGTCAATGGGTTCCTAATATGTCTTACATATTTTGTGGTTGGAAATGATGGCTTCACGGTTTGAAATACATATAAAAGGAATATGATATGTTGATAAATATATTTTGTTCACACGCTACAATCTAGGCAAGTGATAACTCTCTAACATTTGAAGATTTTTAAAAGTACGCATAGGGATAGCAAAAGATTTAAATACCTTCTCTTTGTGGCTGATGATGGTACTAGATTTTGGAGAGCAGTTTCAGCCACATGACCGGCCGTTGCCACGAAATGTTCGCCAATCTGAGCCAGTTGTTGTGCGAATTGATTCCAGAAGTCAGGGTCACTGACGTGAAATAAAATAAGAGGTAATATATTCTTTTGATTCATTTGTGTTTAATTAAAAATTGTTCTAATAGATTGCAACTATACATTTATAACAATTGTCATTTTTTTTCTCTCAAAATTATAGTTTTCCAAAATGTTTCATCAAGAAAAATGTCTTTTTCATATTAATATTAAGCGGGTAAAATAATAATCAATAAAGCAAATGTACTGTCATCATCAAAAATAAAAATTGAAGAGATCGATTTTTGTAGTGTTTTGGTTGTCTTTTTCTTTTGATGTTACGAAAACAGAGGATCTAGACCAGGATTCGACCTCTGGATCCTCTTTTTGTACTCTTTATACTTTCATTCTTTTATAATCTAGCCGGAAGTGTTTTGACACAACTCTGCTTCCTCTATATCCAATACGATATCATGTACATTGTTTATAAGAATAGCCTCATTGAAGTGGAACAGGGTTCCTTATACTATACCAATACCAATTTGTGGGTAGCATCACTCCTACAATTAAGACATAATCTTTAATTTGGTAAACAATCAAAACGTGATGAAACGGTACAATGTAACGGTTAGACTACTAATTCCAGAGCTGAGTTTCTGAGTTAAATCTGTTACAGATTATGAGACTGTTCAGAGGACAAACTGATAAAAAAAATGAAAGTATACTTGACCTATCATTTAGTATAGCATTTGAAACAATATATAAACGTTTAGATAGAAAAATTAAAAGGTCCATATGATTTTTTAAGATTTACATCGTTTAAAAAATTGTAACACTAATTTGTTCTTTATTGCTTAACAAAATGTATTTGGCTATTGCTGTTTTCTAAAATTGATTTGGCAGAAAACCACAACGTTATCATTCACAATATATAGTTTTTTGTGTGTTCTTTTTTCCCTTTAAAGAATAGTTAACAACGCTTCAAATATAAATTTTGCAAGGGGCACAAGAACTATTACTTCGGTATATGGTTGTTCTAATCATAGAAAAAGGACATCTTCAAAAACAACTGCAAGATTGCCTTTAAGTCACCCTTTCGCACTTTGTCGGAAAATTTGCAATCAAAATTGAAGCAATATAATTTCATAAATAATATTAGTGTATAAGTATGAAATGATTTAAGATTCTAATGACTTACATTTATGTCAAGTATAAGCGTGTGAAGCCTTTTCCTGACTGACATTGACCTCACCGCGCGCAGTGTTTAAACTAAGCTGACGTAATTATCATGCATAACCGACTTCATGAGATGTCCCGAGAGCAATATATGACGACTATGTTTTCGACTGGATAGGATGCAATATTACTTCATAATATATGTTCGGCAAGGTAAGAGGTCATGCTTATACAATACGCGTGCTTTCATCGCAGTTGATAAAGATCTATTACGTGACTTGACTTGCTAAACGACTTCATAATTTACTTATGATATATAACAAAAATATGATCGCAATAGCCGAGGAAGGCTAACAACAAACGTTGTCATTTTAATTGGGGTATGCATTATATAATGTAAACCATCGAATTCTTTACGGCACTGTTTATTTCATGTTTAACATGTTTCATACCCTGAGTGAGATAATAATGGAAAGTTAATAACTTTTCTACAATATATGGAATAAAAGTAATTAAAGGTAGTTTTGTCCTGCTGATAAGAAAAATGAGGGAACGTAAGCGGCAAGGTATCCTTAATGGTTGGTATGATATGCAGTACCATTTAAATGCAAACTAACTTTTATAAATACATATATAGGATCTTACATGAGTTTTCATTTTTATATGGGATTTTGAAACGAGTCTAAGAATTTTTCAATTTAGCGAGCCTCTCGCGAGCTAAAATGAAAAATTTGTGACGAGTTTCATAAATTTCATATGAATTGACAAAGAGTGGTAGATACTTTTTTATCACATAATCAAGATTTGTGGCATTTATTCGTGTAAAACGACAATTTTCATGCAACCTTGAAATGTAAAAAGCCGCCATTTTGACTCCAGTGCGTAAGTCTGTGACGACATGTACTTGTCTTAATCATGACGTCACAATTGAAACACTTGAAACTTACAACCAATCAAAGGGCTAAAACGTCATATCACAAGGGTTAATACGCAAACAAATATGACATGGGTATATTCACTGGCTAACAGTACAATATGTGATAAACAAATTACCTATAATGCGGCGTTTAATATAAAAACATTCATGCATAAGAATGAGTTAATCTATCACATTGAGATTATCGAGGAGATTATGTTAGCATAACATTTATAAGTATATATATATATATCATAATCAATAAAATATTTAGGCAACTTTGTTGACAACTCTGTTTTACAACAAATAAACGGTGCTTACCTCCTTTTATTGTCTGAAATATAAACAAATCCAAAAATTATGAAAACCTAATTTTGAAGTTTGTATTGGTGTTGTCATATCCGAACTTAAATATTAAATAATGCATAACAGTTTCCATGACGGAAAACCCTGTACAAAGCAAACAGACCAGTTGTTTGATAAACAAAAAAAAAGTATCAAACAAAATCAATCAGCAAAATATAAGATAAGTATTCGGCGATGATGTGGATTTGTTTATGTCTTAATGATTATACATTTTGCCATTTTAAATTGTCTTAGACGTCAATACTTCTCATATATGTAAATTAGTTGTTTGTGATATGCATCAAATTGACATGATTTATTCGGTTCAGTGCCTTTCTTTCATATATTTAATAATATTTGAAATATTTTACCTCGAACAACTGCCGCTGACGTTAGGGCCACAACGGAGAGGAATACACACAGCTTCATTTTGACTGAAAAATAATGTTGCCGCAACATTAAAATACGAATACAAATCAGATTCATTTAAACTAACAAGAATAAAAACTTGGTAAAATAATTATTTCAAGTAAATGTCAATCTACTGATATTATAAACTATTCCTAATTGTGTAACTCAATTACAAGATAATACATGTATAACTTGTTTACCAGTTCCCCTTTAACACAATTAACAGCCTGAATGATCTTTGAAGTTACATTCGTTTTCACAAACACATGGAAATTCTTACCGACTTGAAGTAGCTTATGAGAAATGATAAGATCTACATGAAACTTCTACCTTATCTCGAAGATAACATAAGGTCACTAGGATTGAGCGTCATCGTACTTGGTCATCACTCGGAAAAATGTTTTCATTACACAGGGTCAGCCTAGCAATTTCATACCTGAACCAATCATCAAGTTACTTACTGCAAGCCTTCGTTGTCTTCATGAAATGGTCCAAGTGTGCACAGAAGGCATGTATGTCGAGAGCCATGGATTTCGAAAAGAGCCTGGCTGATAAAATATATAGAACATAAAAGTTTGAATGACTTAATTATAACAAATGCATAGCTACCAATCCAGAACGTTCTCCTGCAAACTGAGGGTGTCTGCATCGATTATCATCTAAATACTACACTCAAACTTAATCTTCAGTGTAAGTAAACGCTATCCTATGATTGAGATGCCTATGTCCGCTATTGAATAAAACAAGTAGGTTTACACGTGAAATCTTCGAATAACACAGTTTGGCGCTGTTGATTGGATAGAAATCTGACTTTTGACCCGAGAGAAACATGATTTGCGGTATGATGATGTTGTGTGGAAGGCAAAGTGATGAAGTTGATAGTTTATTTAATAACTTTGGTTTTCCAATGAATGAGATCCAATTGGATTCGGGAAAAACTTCTTACCAAAATCCGATACAAATTTGATACTGTCCGTACCCCTGGATGCGTCGACTCTCCCAACTCAAATGTTGAAGATGACTCATCCCGTATTAATACATTTGCAAGTCTGACCCTAATTGCTTAATAATGAGTGTGACGTAAAACAGTACATATTTTTTTCCCCAGATAAATCTGAAAGAGGGTAAACAAATTAACCACGTTATAGTAGAAAGAAATTCCACAACTTAGGCGATGGTTTATCATGCTCATTCAACTCTTGTTAGTAAATTTGCAAACTTTTTAAAAGACACTCGTTGAAGCTCGTTTAAATATTTACTAACTCGAGTTGGATAAAAATGATAAACTTTTCGTTATGGGACCTCTATTTAAACGGCCTACCAGTAGTATGGTCATTCATTATCATGGGTCTTCAGTACGACACTAATAACAGTGAACCAACTATAACGTTAACTCAACCGTTCGGAAGGCCCGAGACCGAAGACCAAGACATTTTTAAAGTAGCTTTGCCTGACAGATTTGTACACCTCACTGAGGAGAGATTATATAATTTTTAATTGTTATTGTATTAAGGCTGTTTAGAAAGTGTTAAACTGTATATCAGCTTCCTTGATCAACCACTTATTTATTTTCTCGTCTATATTGCCTTCAAATAGTCTACAAGCATTTGACAAAACCTGTTTCCTTTTTGTTGACTATTACCCCTGTAGGATACACTTTGATATGTTTTTGTGTGCTATTATTGTCTCTAGGCGGAATAGCAATCTTAACGTAGTACATTCATATGTTTTTGGTAAAGCTCAATAGGTAAATTTCTTTCAACATTCCAACTACATGTCGGCAACAATATGATTGTCACATATTTCTTAACTATTAAGTTTCTACAGATTTATCTGATAAATAGTGCGATATTGTGTCTATTTTGGACCAAAACAAAAAACAAAAACATTTTGACTCATTTATTTAAAATGCGGTATACATGTATTTGCATTTCAAAGGCGAAAAATGAGTCATGATTTGAGTGGTTTTGATAAAAAAAAAAAAAAAAAAAAAAATCCCGAGCTTGCTTATACAAATGACACACAATCAATAAAACATAATCATGTGCCCTGAATTCACGTTCATTGCTATAAATACCCCGACCCAAACGATCCTGTAGATGTCGAAATAATTGGACGCATGATGAAAAACAATTAATTTAACATATATATGCCTGTGAGACAGGTATTGTAGTAATCTTTATGTGCAGATGACACTTACTGGCAAGTCACAAGAACCGAAATAATCTTGTTTTGTAACCGTTACACACTTATGGTAGTGTATACTGTGCCGGGCTGATTCAGACATACAATTGTATCACACTTGTGAAGTCACGCGGTCAAAGGTCACTTCGCATCGGTAGCGATAAGTTCGTGCAGGTGTGCTTTTGTTAGTTAAAAAATTACATACATGATAATATTATATTAAATGAAAACCAAAAGTTATAATTACCAGTTATCAGAATCTTATATCAGTATATTAATATTATTTTTATTTATATACTGGTTTGCTTGTTGACAAAAAAGAATAAACAACGCCTATCTATTTCTTGATTTTCGTATATAAGGAAATAAATGAAAGTTACTATTACCATGCTCGATCGACTTCCTTGGTCCAGTTACGTAAAAACATTATCTTGACAAAAGATTGATGTAAAGCAAGACACTCATACATGTATGTAGTGGATTCATAGTTTCTTTAATATTTAATATATCTCATTTTCTTTAACACAAACTGAATTCCCTAGAAGCATCAGGGTGTGAGAGCATCTGATTACTTTCCACCTTTACAAAAATAAACAGAGCATATAAATTACTGATCAAATGCTACCTAGACGGTTTCTACAAATCTTTATTATATATTCACTTGTGTTAATGATGCGCGATGGTTTCGCTTACAGATTATTCCGTCTTTGCGTATTGCAGAGTTATCTTCTCTTGGGAGCAGGTATTGATTGTTACGTCACTTGTTTGTGAGAGTAACGTCATCAATTTTTGAGAAAACGACGTAATTTTCTCGAACAAACCAATGACGTAACAATCAATACCTGCTCCCAAGAGAAGATAACTCTGCAATACGCAAAGACGGAATTCTTAATCACAAATTAAACGAATCACATTAAACGTGTGATTGAATTTGAGTTATCTTAATAAGATAAATATATTTCAAATCAATTACTGCTATATATTACTAAAGTTACTTTATGAAAGAATGTATTCATCAATCCTTGAAATGGGTTTAAAGTGTAGTATAGTGAACAGCAAATTTACTAACTTTATATTTTTCTGTTTTAATTTCAAGTGTGGAATGTTTTGGTTATGGATCTCGTTTGCTACATAGAGCTCTGTAAAAAATATATAGCCTAATTGCTTTACTATGCATGACAAATGTCCGTGTTAAATACCCACCAGCGAGTGCATTAACAAGATTAGTTTCTCCTGTTTTTATTGGTGTTTGCAGAAGGTGTCAACCGATTGCGATCAATTGAACTCCAAGTTGATGCAAAAAATCAGTACTAGAACAAAATACAGTAATGGTTTTCGATTAAGTAGGTTTCCTATTTATGTCTCTCTGTGTTTTCTTTTATTCTTAATTGTGCCTTTTAAAGGTGGTAGCATGTTGTTAATTTTCTTTTTCAGTCGTGAGGTGCTGTATGCTGTGTTCGAATATTTATTGTTTCGCCGGAAGTGGAATGATAAAAATTGAAAAAAAATGTATGAAATAAAAATAAAGTAGTGGTGCCTTAAATAGACAATATTTTTGTCGATGTCTATTCGTTTGGATTTCGAGGTCCACTTGTGTCATTATTGTTTACACTTCAGTCTTTGGTTATATTCAATTACATACTAAGCTTTTGTTTTGAAAAATATTGTTTTTGTAAAAGACAAAAAACTTATCACTATGAATTACTTACTCTATTTCGTGATAATGTAAAAAAAACACCTAGTCAAAAACAAAAATGAATGTAGACTGTCCTTTTTTTAAATGACAGGAACATCAATAAGACCTTGTAAATCTAAACTAATTAAATCTCGTGCTTTTTTTCGCGTAAAAGATTACAGTGTGACATTTTGACAAATTAAACATCCATGTCTGAAAAAGTGACTGAGCTCGTCGAGTTGTTGTGTTTAGATACGGCCGAACGACGGTATGTTGCTGGACAGCTTATGGAACAGTGAAACTTTTAAACCAGGAAATGAATTAGCCATGTACAAGTTAACGTAGGGCTATTATATTGATTCTTATGCTGACTCCATACTCGTCATCCAATAGGGAAACTATAGCGTGTAGATTATTTTTAATTCGGTAAACACACATAATTTTTCCACCTTAAACGGTGTATCTGATTCTTTAAAGTTTACATTTGTTTTGGCCTAGGTATCACAACGCAACCTAATAGCAAAAAAAAAAAAAAAGTACTATAATTGCATAATTTGGAGAAGCCTGAGAAAGGGGATATCACAGAAAAAAGTATTGAATACCGAATGGAAGAGATATGATCAACGATATCAAGGAATTGACAAATAATCAACCTTTCATTTAACAGTTTATGTGAATGTTTTATGCGAAACTTTACCTTTATTAACGACTGATCAATGGTTAGGTAATCGTGTCAAATATTTTCTAGAAACAGATGACAATGCAAGACAAATGAATGGGTGTTGATATTAGGAAGACACGTATACGATGATACATCCTCTATTGAAAATTGAAATGATCTTATCCAGTCATTGTCTTAAATACGGCCTACCTACATTTATTTCGGCAAGTTAACTGGCTAGTATATCACTTTGAATGAAACACATCAAGATGATTATGATGCTGTGCTTTGAATATAACTCATTAACACACAAGTCAAACTATATACATGCAATCACCTTATAAATTGGTAGTTGCTATTCCCTGCTTAACGTTCAGCGTTTTGGAGAATGGCAACAACTGGTTCACCCGTTGTCAGTATAATATGACCGGGCGGAATGTGCTGGGTGTCGTCGGCATGCCATTTCAGTGAGATGGCACTATGAAGTCGGCATCAGATCCTCGCTATCACAAGAAGGCAAGCACTCCAACATACCATGTCTCCTGCATACACACACGGAAGCACGCATACACCACCCACATTGAGGCACGTCTTTAAATGACCAAAGCAGTAAAAAGGACGTAAAACAAAATCAAACCAAACCAAACCAGCGATCACGGAACTAACGTCAAAATCCCGAAGCGGATACGGCCTGCTTCTGGGCCGTTAATGGTGCAGTCAAACATTTAAACAATGAATTTGATTC